CAGTTTAGAACTGATAGAGCTATCCAGTATAAATAAAGTTAGTTTAGTTTAGGTTTCCTCCTGTAGTAACACTGGATCAATAAGAGATGATCCTTACTGGACCTCTAGGAAGAACAGTTTAGAACTGATAGAACTATGATCCTGTACAAATAAAGTTAGTTTAGGTTTCCTCCTGTAGTAACACTGGATCAATAAGAGATGATCCTCACTGGATCTCTAGGAAGAACAGTTTAGAACTGATAGAACTATCCAGTATAAATAAAGTTAGTTTAGTTTAGGTTTCCTCCTGTAGTAACACTGGATCAATAAGAGATGATCCTCACTGGATCTCTAGGAAGAACAGTTTAGAACTGATAGAACTATCCAGTATAAATAAAGTTAGTTTAGTTTAGGTTTTCTCCTGTAGTAATATTGGATCAATAAGAGATGATCCTTACTGGACCTCTAGGAAGAACAGTTTAGAACTGATAGAGCTATCCAGTATAAATAAAGTTAGTTTAGTTAAGGTTTCCTCCTGTAGTAACACTGGACTTCTCTTACTGGACTTCTATAGAGAAAACCGTTTAGTCAGTTTAGAACTATCTGTTTTAGATCCAGTTTACATACCTATACAAGTGCATGGTTATTCTCAGAACCGTTTCACAAAACAAGTTTCATAAAAAATACAGTGGTTTAAACTATTTTCTTACCGATTTATATTGTTCTGAAGGGTGAAGATCAATTCTTACAATGTCGAATTTTCCAGACAAATTGGTCTCACCTGAAAGAAATATATATGATGGTGGTGTTCGAACCTGAGTGAGAAAATATTGTTGTTGCTATATATAAGTTGATCAATATCTGCTGCATCACAGCGCTCACTGAAACCCACGTAATATACACACAGGTTATTGCGTTTCACAAGAGGTCACGACCTGTTGATGAGAAGATAAATTATTCAATACAATTAAGTAATAACGAAAGTATGACACAACAATACTTCTGCTTTGTGACGCAGACATTCTACCCGGCTCGAGTCTTCGACTATAATTCATCTAAAAAATATAGTACGTTTTAAGTCCTAATATCTTGGTGGCACGGCTACTTTACGCAAAGGAAGGAATCTAGTGCTAAAAGGATGTAATACTCAAAATCAAGCCTTAATTCCTTAAAGTTTCAAAGGTTTGTTTGTAACCTATACTATACTGTGTACACTTTATATCGTCATATCTGACCTCGCCTTCTTTTCAAGTTACATGTTTGTAACACTTTCTGAAACCCACCAATATCACTCTAATATACTTGACGTTGTTTCAGGATGTGAAAAACAGTCGAAAGTAAAGCGAAATCATGGCAGGCCTTATGGAAGCTAGCCAAGGAAGTGAGATATGGCTGGGACAAGGCTTTGAGGACAGTCGTTTTGAACTCAGAGATCCAATCAGTCCTAGCTTTCATTGCCCTATATGTATGAACGTTCTTAACGACCCAGTGATGTGTCGAAACAACCAACACTATTTCTGCAGAGCATGTATCAGCAAACATCTAACAAATACCCACAACTGTCCAACATGTCAAGATGAGTTGACGGAGGACACGTTGGTCCAAGCATCGAGAATCGTGCTAGAGTTTTTATCTGAGCTCAGAATTCGTTGTGATTTCTTCAACCGTGGTTGTCGTGATGTTATGAAGTTAAGTGATCTAGAACGTCATGTCAGTATGTGTGGCTTTGCTGCAGTGAAGTGTTCTAACAAAGGTTGTGAGGTGCTCATCAATAGACAAGATAAGTTACATCATGAGGCTGAGGTCTGCGAGTTTAGGTAAGCCATTATTGTGTTGTACAGGAGGTAAAACACTGTCTACTCTCATCCTTACTAAACTAACTTTACTTATGTTGGACAAGTACGGGATTTAAAAGTTTTGAACAGTTCTCTCTAGAGGTTCAGTCAGGGCCATACTTTATTCGTTTTGTTATTTACACTGCATTATCAGATCTATCCATCTGATGCTTGATATATTCAATGGCAAAAGAGGCTATGTTACTGTGACCGGTCACACGGGGTCACATGGTCACACTAAACCAAATCTTATACAATAATTAGATTTCGATCTGCTCGCAAAAAATTCTGGTAAAATAGACATGCCACTATGCAGTATAATGCCACAATACCAGTGCGCGATGCTGACGATAGTATTATTAAAGATTTAAAGTTGCAAACAACAAGGGTATTCCTGCATGTTTGGAAGTCGGAAATTTAATATCGTATAAATATAAAGTAGGTAGTGTGAATAATATCCTTAAAAGCTGTCTCACTATTTAATATCGTATAATATAAAGTAGGTTGCTGATAAATCAAGGATACTCTGTGTTGTTACTGTGAACTTAAATAATGAATGAATTAGCCGCGTTTATACGATCTTCGCGACTTATTTAGGCCGCGGATTATTTTAACTCGTACTGAGAACTTATATAATTTAGTTATTCAAATAACTGATGTTCCGATTCTAGGTAAGTACCACGAGATGCCTGCGGAGGAGGCTATGATTAAGCGTACTTTGATGATTGCGATGCGACAGCCGATACGTAGTTTGTTGCCGAATTTTGAGTCGTTTATACGAATGCTTGCGACTAACACGTATCAGTAATTTTCAACAAGTAGGCTATAATTTTTAACAATACCGTATATAAACGCACTGTTCGCAACTTATTTTGGCCGCGGCCGGCATAATTTCGCTCGTATATAAAGCCCTAATGTTTCTTTGGAAATAACACTTGATTCTTTGTGTATATATTATTAGGCCTATTATATTGTAAATCAAGATGTTAGGTAAATATGTTAGGATGTTTGGCAACGAAAAATTACGATTATAGGCTACTATTGAATTTGTTTCAGTAATTTTCCGATTTTAAAACATAATTTGCGTGCTATATGTTGCTCCGAAGAATTAATTTTCAATTATATGCTCGTATAATTATTAATTATATTGTAAATTAAGATATTTTGTAACGAAAACTTGCGAACATACTTTTGAATTTTTGCTTGAGCAATTTGGTGATTTCGAAACATTGCGTCGCTATACTGCAGTTGTCTGTCTGCTCGGCATTCTTTATTACTAGAAGTTACTATCGCAAGGAAAGTGCTGCCTCACCCCCAAGGGATCAAAGACAGGGAGCATACGCAATTTGCTGAATAATGGCTATTTATACGGATCTCGCTTAAACCGCTTTGCCAGGACGAGATATAAGGTGCGATGATTTTGTGAAAAACTTTATTTTCTACAGATGGATTATAGTCAACTGTAAACGAAAGGTTGTTCAAAAAGCTATAAAAAAAATCTTGAACTACATGATTTTCTCTACAACATTTGAGTTCGGTTAGCCAGCATTTGAACTTTTGTTTATTCTAGTGACTTATTTCAATACATCAAAATCATCCCAACTTCCATCATGTAAACAGCCCAGAGTATGCCCGTTC